TAGAAGATGAAGGATTAGGAGTGGAAGAGAAAATGTGATCATATGAATGGGAAGATGGAGGAATGAAAGAAGACTCTGGGTTGACAGGATTTGATGAAACATGAATAGAAGAGGAAAACTTCTGATTCTTCATCAGAAGGAAAATTGAACTAAGGAACAGTATAGTTATTTGAATCATCAGAAGCTGAAGGAAAGATACCTTCATGAAATAATAATCCCTTGAAATGAGAATTTTCTGCTAAGAGGGACAATAAACTTTGCATCCTTTTTGTGCATGTGGATACCAAAAAAATATGCCTGAAAAGGATCGAGAATCTAGCTTATCTTTCCCTGGACCAATATTAAGTGCATAAACCTGACATCCAAAAATGCGAAGACTACTGAAATCAGGTTATTGGTTGTTTAAAACTTGAAATGGTGATTTCCACCCTAGTAAAGGAGTAGAAACTTGTTTATGAGGAAAGTGGCAGTTAACAAGAACTCCCCCCAAAATCTTTTTCATAACTTTTACGGCAAGAGACGTGATCTTGCAACCTGACGTAAATCCTTATGTTTTCTTTCAACAACAGCATTTTATTGTGGTGTGTATGGATTTTCTGATGAACAATACCAAGCTTTTGAAACAAAGAATTACAAGTAGCGTTGACAAATTCTGTACTATTTCAGTACGAATGAACTTGACAGTAGCTTCGAACTGATTTTCTATCATTTTCAATAATATGAGAAATCAAGGAAGGAACATCTAATTTATGATTAAAGAAAATGGTCCAAGTAATTCTGTATGATCATCAACAACGGTAAGAAAATATCGACAACCTGTGAGACTCTTATATTTATAAGGTCCCCAAACATCAAGATAAAACAACTGAGAAAACATTTGGATTCTATAAAACTTAAACCAAAAAAAGTTCTGCATTGCTTAGTAAGTGGACAGATACTACATTGTTCAATATCCTTTTGTCAAGTAGTAACGGAAGTACAAGGAACATGACAAGTGTTTACAAGATGGTTTAAAACTGAATAAGATTGATGGCCTAATCTTGAATGTAAAAGTTTGGGTGAAACTACAACATTACATGTACTATTGGGAAATATATTCTAAATAGATTTATAACAGGAGAATTGATTATGAAGCATATAAGAGGCATAAAACTCTTGTGATTGTTGAATGGCTTGTCATGTAAAAGAACTCTCGTCCAAAACATATAGCTCCCTGATGACTTTGGGAGCTTCCAGGACCCTTCCTTTGTTAAGGTTCTACAGCAGACAAAAATAAGCATAGACCTGGAAGAAAAAATTTGATGTTTTGGCTAATTTTCTGACTAATAGGAAGTTATATTTAAATCCTGGTACATTAGTACAAGAGATAAGAGTAAAAGATTCTTAAATATGCGCATCGCCAAAGTGTGTAACATACTTAACAGTACCATTTGGCAACAAAATAGGTGTAAGTGTATACGATGATCTTATGTTATACACCAACAAAAGGCTAGTGCACGTATGCCTAGTTGCCCCTATGTTTGTAACCCATGCTCTAGGACTAATGTAAACAGTAATAGAAGAAGTCTTAACTTAGAGATAGTTGTGCTACCTGCAAGGTCATTAAAATGTGCCATCTTCACCATGTGTCCTGCAACAGGCTCAGCAACCTCATTGCCGTTGTTACACCTATAATTTCTTTCTATATTGCAACAATCATTGACTGTAGACTCTCTGAACTATTTCCAGCATAAGCATTGGATTCTGCTGACTTAATTTCAAATGAAGTCTCCACTATGTTTATTATGTCCTTGATTTGGCTTCTTAGGCCACCATTATGGATAACCTTTGATCATGAAACATTCATTAAGATGTCCTGTTCTCTGATAGTAAGTACATTTCTTCAACAATTTATCAGCTCAATAACCCTTAAACTTGTAGAAATCATCCTTAAGATGACCTGCTCTGGGACACTATGAGCAAATAGGCATGTCCTGTTTCTGCATTACTCTTTGTTGATTCACATTGTTCCTTCTCCATTCCTGAATCTTTGCCAGCATTGCTACATTTTCATCTATGGCTGCAATATTTGTGCTAACTTGTCGATTTGACTTAGCTTTCAAAAGGAGACTATAAACAACTTCTTCTGTTGGCAACGGTTCCATATTGATGGGTGTCGAGACCACCAAAAAAAACCGGCTTAAAACTTGTGGTAAGTGATAATGCAAGTTATGCAAATGTATGAACATAATTAGACTTGGGCAAGCAAGTTTATAACTTGAGAAAGTGATGGAAGCCTAGGGTCATCCTCATGCATATGTGATGATTCAATAGCTCTTTATGTGGTATGAAACTGTATACAATCATGCACAATAATACTGTAAGGTCCCTCACGATATTCCAAACCGCAATCCTAGTAGCAACAAGCCCACTAACTCACGTTTTTTACTCCGGAATGCTACTAAGCCATTAAGTTCCTAAGCCCTTATGATTGCCTCGTGTCAAAAAACTAACTCACGTTGTTGTTTGAAACCTTGGGATGTTACCCCTTTGTCATCGATTAATCTTAGACGTTCTAAGTTAAGTTTACCCTCACAGGTCTCCCTTAACATGCAAGCACAATTAGTTAACTGACCAATTCAACTAAAAGGATAATGGAAACTCTAAGACTAACCACACAAACATAATCCGAGAGCTTGAACCAAACATACTTAGACCATGGTAGGAACCTAGAAATGAGGGATTAGACCATATAGTAGAGGGATTAGACCCTAGAAATGAGTCTAGCTACACATGGTAGGAACCTCAAACACCATAGAATCAAGGTGGAGAAACTTCCCCACGGTTACAATAGAAAAGGTAGAAAACAAGGGAAGACCAAAGTCAGGGAGTGTGGTAAAGTACAGCTGACTTTGCAGAGTCAGCTTCTCACTTCCCCAAGGGACACCGCTGAGTCTACTTTCTAGACTTATGCTCTGTTCTAACCTACTGAACTCAGCTAACTCTAACTTATCATCTTCTAACTCTTGCTGCCGTCTTTTTCTACTGCTGCTGGTTTATATAGAGGGGGGGGAGTAAGCTTGCTTAGCCAAGTTGGTCTCTTCTTTACCCGAGGGGTTTAAGCAAAAGAGAGGAGACCCATACTTTTTCAACTTCCCCCCTTACCTCTAATCATCTTGTGTAGAGGATTTGGTTGCTCTAATTCAGCTTTAAGGCACATCAACCTCATCTCTTGTCAGTAGCATCACTTCACCCCCTTCCCCTCTTCCTTAGCCTTGAAGTCTTGGTTCAATTTGGCCTTCAATCAGCTCCTCTTCCCGCCGGATTCAGCCTCACTTCTGCCCTTACACTTCACTCCAATCACCCACTTTCAATTGTGCCTAGAACTTTATCATTTTGCAACATTTTGATCACCTTTTTACTGATTTTGCAATTAAGTCCCTGGATCACCGAAGTCACCAAATTAACCTATAAATATAAAATCCTAATCCAATTGACCTAAAAACTAAGTACAAAGAGGTAAATTTTGTGTCTAAAAACATGCATAAATTGATACTCATCAACTCCCCCAAACATGAAGAGTTGCTTGTCCTCAAGTAAACACAATATCTTGTCACAGAAGAAAGAGTTGATTTTCCTTTTAAGACTATTTCCATCAGGTCTGCAACAAGGGTATTCTTACTGGAATTTAGACTAATGACTTTCCTCACTGAACTGCTAGTACATTGGCTACATCTTTCACCCTCATACCATTTTCCTCCTTGTCCAAGTTGGTTTTTCTTCTGGATCTTACCCACTCAGGCCTATGCTAAGCACATTTTTTCAGCACTTTTACGGTATTCTAAGCATTTAATTTTTTAAATCACCAGGCCTGAGAACACTCCTCTCATTGGTTGCCATGCCTCACCTCCCAAGGGTTTATAATGCCATATTGGGCACTCAATTACCTAAGTAGATAACCACAGCTTACATTGCCAACTTCCCCTTTTCCTAGGTATTTCAAGCTAATACAAACAACTATGAGTTCAAACCAAGGCTTCTATAATGCGTAGGGTTGCCTTAATCTATATCCAGGCTTGCACTCCCCTACGTTAACAAACAAGTGAGCTCCACTGCAGATCACAACAATGCAGGAAAATTTTCAAATTTTAAACAAATAAGTCTAGAACAACACTTTTTCATGTCAACTGTGTGCATAAGGAAGTGGATGTATGTTTCGATTTTGATCAATTGGTTTTCAAACAAGTGTTCTACCAAATGTAAGCCTAAATTATGTTTTCATCCTTGACATTTGACTATCTACTTAACATGCATTTTCAATTTACCTAGACACAGAAAGACTTTACTGACTTGATCACAGAAGTTAAAAAAAACACAAAAAAATAGAAAAAAAATAGGGAAAAGTGCCCAAAACCCGAAAAACACATATGCATTTACCTAAAAACAAAGATCTAAATACTGACTCCACATTTACCCCTCCTCCCCAAACATAAAATCAGGCATTGTCTCCAATGCTGACCAAAAGAAAAGAGAGTGAGATGAAAACAATAGACTCAAAAGTATAAGAATTAAAGAAAAAGGGAACTAGTGACTCCCCTGATCCTCCAGGTCTGACAATCCTGCAAGAGGTGACAGAGGTGGTGGTGGTTCTAGATGCCATGGCCGTAGCAGAGCTGATATTCTGTATTTTGGTCCAAAATTTACACCGGACCGTTCCATCAACATGGTGAGAAGGCTTGGAAAAAACCATCCTTTCTCTTGCTTGTCTGCAGCGCACAAATTCATTTGCTAGCGAATGATAGAGGCTACATCAAAAGTGATATTTTTGATAATAGCAAACACTAGCAAGGCCCTGTCAAAAGTTACGAACTGTCTGGAAATGCAAGGCATAATGTTGGTGCACACAAGGTTGAACCATCTCCTATGCTTTTCTTTCAGATATTTGGCCGGAAACTGCTTCGGCCAGCCATACTTATCCACACTCCATTCCACAGAATTGTGATTTCTGTAGAGTGCTTTCTTTACAGTATCCCAAATACTTTCTCCATTGGGATATGAGTGATATCATCCTCCCAATCATTATCGACCTCTGGCAATCCCAAAACTTCCCTAATGGCATTAGGGCTAACCTCTATTATGGTCCCTCTGACAAAGACAAACTGTCTTTGAACCGTGGTTAGATTGGCGTAGAGCTCATGTACTGCCCTCATCTGTGGCTAGATAGTAGGATTCAAGAGGCCTTCCCATTGCTCATCTTTGGTATACATTAATAGATTGCCCTTGTTTACCAGGCATCTCTCGATAATCAGCCTCTCATTCTGATGTCGTTTGAAGAAATCCCATCCGAACTCAATAATGAGTCCCAATTTATGGGCTTTTGGAGTCGGATCTATCCTGCAGATAGCACGCATATGGACTCTTCCTCCCATATTTGGCGGGTTCCTTTTCTATCGGTTCGCCTGACTCTGGGATTCATTGCAGAAAGTGGAGGATGGAAGTATTTGGTGCTGGGTTGTGAAGGTTCAGAAATGCTCTAGAGAGTAAACAGAAACAATTTGTGGAAGATGAAGGAACAGAGAAGAGAGAAGGAAGAAGAGCGTGAGGAGGTATGGTTTTTTAGTAAAATGCAACAACTCCCCATGCCCAGTCCTTTCATATGCCAAAACATTATTCCATTTGGCCACCAAAATACTTAATACAGCACAGTTGTCCCCCCCCCCCGCCGCCCCCCAAACTTAAAGTGAAGACCAATTCCCAAAGTCAAAGATAGAATTACTTGCATTTTTGAACATTCAAAATGAGTTACGCAAGTTAGAAACTGACTTCCCAAAGTGGTAGTCCAAACTCCTCAGAGTGTTGATCCAGCTTCTTCACTTTTCTCCATGACATTAGCAAGATATGGGTCATCACTCCTCCTGGAATTTGGCTCTTCATCTGGCTGGATTGTACCTGTACTACAAACAAAATAATAGGAGAAATAAAAGTTAGAACAAAAGATGCTTGGGTTGCCTCCCAAGTAGCGCATAATTTATAGTATTATGCCAGACTCTGCTAAAATCTTACTCCAGATCATGGAGTGCCAGGATATGACTAATCATGTTCTCCTTCAGAGTGCATTCCAAAATATGGCTTCAACCGTTGTCCATTCACTCGAAATGTGTTACCATCCTGCAGATTGAGCAATCCCGCAGCTCCTAGGCTCGGGATCTTGTTGATCTTATATGGTCCTGCCCATCTTGACTTGAGTTTTTTCAGGGAAGAACCTCAGCCTGGAGTTATAAAGTAGTACCAACTAGCCAACTTCCAGCTGTTTCCTGATCAACTTCCTATCATGAAATCCTTTTGCCTTTTGCTTGTAGATCTTGGATGACTCATAAGCCTCCTGCCTGAATTCTTCTAGTTCATTCAGCTGCAGCAATCTTAGTTCCCTGGTGAGTTTTAGATCCATGTTTAACTCCCTTAAGGCCTATTAAGCCTTATGCTCTAACTCAACAGGAAGATGTCTACCTTTTCTAATATCCTCTTTATCATCAATTATCTCTCTGCTATTTCGGGTGCTTCAGATTCTGGTACACAGCTCCTGATTAGTTGATCCACACACCTTCTTAACAAAAAGGGTTCATCCCAGTAGTAATGCTAGGCATCTTGAATAAACTTCTTCTTTTGCTGACAGCTCAGACCCTCTTGTGTGACTCCAGAGATGACATAATTTGCATATCAGCAAACCATGGCCTCTGATCAAACACTTGGGCCAGTGCTTCTGCCACTTTTCAAAGTTGTTCATCAGGCAATGATTCAGCAATAGGCTCAGGATCTTCAGGAAGATTTTCAAGCCTTGGTTCTAGATACCTTTCTTGTCTCTGATCTCCAGGTCAAATTCTTGTAGCAGTAGTACCCATCTAATCAACCTGGGCTTTGAATCCTTTTTTGTAACCAGATACTTGATGGCTGCATGATCAGTGTATACAATGACCTTCATTCCTTGCAAGTAGGATCTGAACTTGTCAAAAGCTAACACTATGGGCAATATGTCTTTCTCTATGGCTGAGTAGTTGATTTGGGCTGCATTTAGAGTCTTTCTTGCATAGTAGATGACATGCAATAATTTGTTCCTCCTTAGACCTAGTAGAACTTCAACTGCAAAGTCACTAGCATTAGTCATTATTTGAAATGGCTGAGTCCAATTAGGTGTGGCAATCACAGGAGCAGAAATAAGCTTCTGCTAGAGCTCTTCAAATGTCCTTACACAAGGTTCATCTAAGATGAATGTAGCATCTTTCGCCAGGAGGTTACACAAGGGCTTAGATATTTAGGAGAAGTCCTTGATGAATCTCCTATAAAAACCTGCATGTCCAAGAAAACTTCTCACTCCACAAAGTGTTGTTGGTGTACTGAGCTTCTCTATCACCTCTATCTTGACTCTGTCAACTTCAATGCCTTCTTCAGAAACTCTATGGCCCAAAACAATGCCTTCAGACACCATGAAATGACAACTTTCTCAGTTCAGCACCAAGTTGGTCTCTATACACCTCTGCAACACCTTACTCAGGTTCTTCGGATAAACATCATAAGTTTTCCCAAACACTGAGAAGTCATCCATGAAAATTTCAATGATGTCATCCACCATGTCAGAGAAGATAGTCATCATACACCTCTAGAATGTTGCAGGTGCATTGCATAGACCAAATGGGATCCTTCTAAAGGCAAAGGTGCCATAAGGACAAGTGAATGTAGTCTTCTCCTGGTCTTCAACAGCAACAACAATCTGATTATATCCTGAGTAGCCATCCAGGAAGCAGTAGTAACTGTATCCAGCTAGTCTGTCCATCATTTGATCAATAAAAGGCATTGGAAACTGATCTCTCCTGGTAGCCTTGTTGAGTTTCCTGTAATCCATGCAAACTCTCCAAGCACTGACCACTCTAGTTGGGATGAGTTCATCCTGATCATTTTCCACCACATTTATCCCTCCTTTCTTAGGGACACACTGGACTGGGCTCACCCAAGTACTGTCAGATATAGGGTATATGATCACTGAATCTAACAATTTGATGACCTCTTTCTTGATCATTATAACACTTAAATTTGGCCACTTTTAGCAAACAGTTCTTATTCATTTTTACTTGTAAGTTACTGTCAATTAATTTACTTTTGGGTTGATTTTATATTTTAGGGTGATCAAAGGGCCAAAGTAGAAATTGGTGAAAATTTTTTGCCAAAAAGTGAAAAAGAGAATAAAAATGGACTGGAATTGGAGCTGCTGGAATTCAACACTGGAAGGGATTCATTGAAGAAGAAGCTGAGCTGAAATCTCGCTGAGGAAGGAAGAAATGGTTGTATCATCATCATGGCTGATGATCTCTACAAGTGGTAACCAAAGAAAAAAAAAAGAAGGAAAATGCAGAATTGGAAGCTAGTCTGCTGCCAAGCTGCTGCTATAGCTGCCGTTGATTCTATCAATCAAATGAGAAAAGAGAAGCTGAAATCTTGCTGCTGAAGGAAATGATTGCTACACCATCACTGGAAGTTGATGTTGTTACAAGTGAAGAAGAGGGAGAGAAAGAATATGAAGAATAAAGCAACCGCTACTCTACTACTTGCCAAATGCTGCTATTTCTGATTAATTGATGGAATGGCTGCTATTGGAGATGAAAAATGGTGCTGCAGTTGTTTCTAGGGGACAAGGAAGAGAAGAACAGAAGATTGGAGTCTAAATTGGAGGCTGAGTAGGTGGGATGTTGTTGCTTGTTGTCTCTGCAGCTAGTGATGGTGAAGATTAAAGAAAGAAGAAATAGAGATTTGTGACTGATAATAGTGAAGAGGCGCCGGAGAAGAAGACTAAAGGTGAAGGCAAGGATGAGAAGAAGGTGGCTGATGACGGCCGACGAAGAAAGGAAGCCAATCAGATGAAGGCAACTTGGCAAATTGACTAGTTGCTGAATAAATAAACCTCCAGCTGCTGCAAGTGGCCACCTCGACTCTGCTGCAAAGAAGAAGAGACAAAGCAATTATCCCAGCCCTCTCCGAATCCCTATAAATAGGGCAACCGATAGCAGTTAAAAAAACAACAAATTGGAAAGATAGAACATATCCAAAAACAAAGTAGTTAGTTAGTTAGTTAGTTAGTAGGACAGAAACAGAGGGTAAAGAAGAAAGATGTAGACAGTCACTCGGGCAAGTGTCGAAGTTCACTTTCCAAAGTGAGCAGACAGAATCTGCTCTGTTTCACTCTTGACCCCATTTTGTCTTCTGTCTGTTGTACTGAATGATGTTGAATATTTTGTTTTCTGTTGTCCTCATGTTTAGATCAATAAACAAGAGTGTCTAAACTTATTCTGGGGTTTAATCCCAACTATCTCTATGTGAATGTTTGATTCAAGTTCTTATATAAAGTATTGTATCTAGTTCGAGTGTTTTAATTAACCTTTTAGTTAAATTGGCCACTTAGCTAATTATGCATGCATAATTATAGAATCTTGAGAGAGTGAACATGGTTTCAAAACTGCTTAAACTGGTCTATGACAATAGGATAACAACCATTATTTCCAGTCATCAGTAAGAGTTAGTTGATTGGCAAAGGTGATCACTAAGAGAATCAATACATAATCATGTAGATAGGAAGAAGGATGATACTGATTCTTCTATACTATGTCAAGTGACTTTTTCACTTTCCTAAGTGACAATCTTTTTTGTTTACTTTTCAGTTCAACCATTGATCAGTTTTTATTAAGTTACCGTCGTCCCTGTGGATCGACTATACCTACTGCTATCTAAAAGTTTTAGGTAAGTTAATTTTTATTTTTGGGTGGTGTCAATGATTCTCCCACACCAAATGTGGTGTTGTTGCGGGGGGCGGCGTTAAAAACCCTTAAATTCTGATTTTTGTTTTCAATTAATTTCTTTATATACTTTAGATTTCTTAATTTTTTTGCAGACCTGACACAAATCTTTTTACTATTACTTTCAAGCTTGATTTCTGGTTTCATGACTAGAAGCAATCCATCTGGAGAGCTGATTTTCTATCTAGAGATTGAAGCCACGACAAGGAAGTCAAGAGCCTTGCGAAATACAGAAGTTGTTGCTGAACCTTCAAAGATAGAACCAGAGCCAATAGCAGAAGCAGCAGAAGCTTATCAGAATGAAAATAAAGAGCTACAAGCAGCTCAACCTAGACTTCTGTGAGACTATTTTGTACCACAAGAAGAGGAAGTACAGACCCCTCTTGTGTACAATGATGTTGAAGTAGAAAACTTTGAGCTTAAAACTCAAATGATTCAATGGATGCAAGATTCCTATCCTTTCTATTGACAATCCAGTGAAGATCCAAATAAGCACATTAGGAAATTTCTTAGATTATGCAGCACCTTCAAGATTCAAGGATTGTCCAAAGATGAGGTATACTTGAGATTGTTTCCATTCACATTGAAGG